AAATGCATGTTTGCTCTTTGAAGGTGTCAGTCCGGCCTTGCAATTTTTGAACCTGAATGGCCCTTGGCTCCCAGCTGGCCATCACTTGAAGGCGCCAGACTACGTACCGTGCAGCCAATGGCAAGGAAGCTTCCCCTTTTGCGTGCGTGCGCTTTTTTCCAGATGCGTTTGGCGCTGTGCACAAACTGCTGCCGGGTGTCACTGGCTAGTTTCAGCTTCTCTGCGAGAACAGGGGTTCTGAAAGAGGAAGTCTAACAACTAGCTGGAGTCTCCTTCTGACCCTTCAAAGATGGGGTCATTGCCCAAAATACTTCGGGGTCATGGTCATGGACCCATTTTTCAAGGGTCAGAAAGAGACTCCAGGTAGAGCAAAAAGGTTGTCGTGTACTTCACTCAGGTCCTCAGCGTGCAAATCCGCACTTTCTCTATGAGATGTTACACATCGGGTCCATTGGCATTCAAGTTCAAGGAAGGTATCTAGGTCCTCCAGTAGGGCTGGGCCAACTTCTTTCTGTTTCGTCTATTTTAGTAGGGGAACTTTCCCCCAAAACGGGTAAAAGGGCACCCAGCCGGGGGACTTAGGTCTCATCGGAAGGTGTAAGGTACCTTCCGAGTTTCGCTTTCTGAAGAACATCGCAGAGGGTGGAAAATCTCTGAGTGCCAGGTGTACAAGGCTCCCCACTGTTTGTTTTGCTCGTCTTGTCTCCGTTGTGCTAGCCACCCTTGAGGCCCTCGAAGCCGAACCGTGTGGGGGCGCTCGTAAGAAAAAAACTCTTCCATGTGTTGTTGCTCTACCTATTTGAGTCGCCACACCGCACCGAAACTGACAGGAGTGGTTCTCCACACCCTCACTGCTTTTTCGCCACTTGGGCTTTTGGACATGGGATTTGAGCAGTTGTTGGGGGATGCTGGTCAGAGAGTGTGGTACAGAGTTCGTTCTGGCATCCTTTTCAGCTGTCCGTCCATTTGCTTAAGTCCCTTGAACGAAAATAACATATGTCCATAACAGATTCCCTTGTCCACCAACAGGTCAACATAATTCATTTCAGCAAATGAGCCACAGCCTAAACGTGTCATGACTTGCTATGTCGTATCATGTTGCTTACGCCACTAGCGTACGCCACCTTACGCGCTTGGATTGTTTGCTTACGCACACTTCCATATGACACGAACAAATTTCTCTTTCGCACGTGTTGCGGTGCGGACACGGCAAACAGCCGGTTCAAAAAGCGTGTGTCATGATTCAACACATTCATAAGACAACCCCAGATTATTGTTGTGTGAAGACAAGCGAGTGAGCCGCGCCCAGCGTGAGACCAAGATCGAGGCTTGCACGCCCCATCAAACAAAGGAAACCGCCCACCAAAAGGAGCGAAATCTGAAAACTTTGCGTCACACGAGCGCAAACGGCCGCTAGTGACAAGCAACACTGCAGCAACACCCTTGCTCTTAGGCTCCACTGAGAGCCTGATTTTCAAAGAAGACAGGTCGTGCAAGTCGGCCTGCAAGTTCACTCGCCTGCTAACCATTGCCCAGCGCTAAATAATTTTAGCCCGAGGTGATCAAATTCAGCTTCTCAGAAGGAGCCAAGAAATTAAGCTGGCGCGCCAAGCCCGCTAGCTGTAATTACAGGCACCCTGCAAGGAACTCGTCTGACAAACTAATAAAGTCTGTAGGCTGGTAAAGCAGCACACGCCCCAAAGAGCAACTTGGCCCCGTCTTCCTCCATGCTCTGCACCACTGCCACCAAGTCTTCCATAGGTGAATTGCGAAATTTAATTCCAGCTCTGTTTGGGGCCGCGGTGAAACGGCAAACTATTTCCCACATTGCCTGAGCTGCGTTGTCCACATAAGCTCTGCGCAGCTGATTTGCAAGGCAGCAAAGTCTCTGATTAAAGACGTTCTGTCCAGCGCCCACGACCACTGACAGAAGCGTCTTGACCTGGACACAAAAGATTCTTTGATGGGTTGACAACCCACATGATTAACCTGGGATCTTACAGTGTTAAGTGCAATTTTCAGGGTGCGGCAAAATTGACATAAAATAACGCTTGCTAAACATGTCGTATGGAGGTTTTGGACGCCGCTCAACTGGGTCCTCCAGTAGAGAGGTTAGAATAAGGGTGCCCTTTAGTACATTTTAGTATTTAGTAAGGCTCCCCCAAGAAAGGGGTGGGGCACTACTGGGGGACCTAGTCAAATGGATCTATCCCTGGGCAAAGGCTTCAGCGGGGTGAAGGGGGCCTCCATGCCGTTGACCGATCCAAGCGAAGTGCATGAACCAAACGGCGAACGACGGACTTTTGGAGAGTTGGACTGTCTTGGTTTCGAGGGCACTTTTTGGGTCACAGAAGGAGTCGACGGGAGAAAACTTCAAACCTGGACCACCCAGGGTTCATGTACGTTCTTCTTTGGCCAGCAAAAAATGCCTATACTTTCAGTGGGCCCAGGAATAAGGTTCCCCCAAAAGACAAACTCCACACAGACTTTTGAATATCGCAATGCTTTGACCCAGGCTTCAGGGGTGTCTGTCTCGTTTGGCTTTACCCCTTTTTGGGTGGTTTAAAAGGAAGCCAAAAGGAAAAACACCTCCTAAAGAAGTAGGGGGGGCCCTAAAAGAAGGGGACACAGACACATTCAAATGTTCATATCGGGCAAGATACAGAGGCTACGTTTCCCCTTCTCCGCCCCAGGAAAGAGTTGGGAACTGCACACACAGAGAGAGACTGTAAATGACAAAGCACTGCACACACAAAACCCATTTCTTTAAAGATTCCAGACAGAACCCACTTTTAAGGCTTCTGAATACACAGAACTCCCTTTTTTAAAGCTTGACACACAGAACCCACTTTTCCCATCCGGCTTCCCAAGTGGATCCCCTGTTTCGGTCCCCAAACCGAACACCGAAACCCGGGCGGAGATCGCTCGATCGCTCCGCCTCCGCGGCTCGGGTGGCAAGCCCTTCGCCTGCCGTGGTAACCCCGAAGCGAGCGGACCGAACCGCCCGGCGGAAAGTTCGAGTGGCGTTGACATTGTTTCGTGGGTGCTGTGGATCACTTTGGTTACAAGGAAATATGAAGAAATATGAGGGGAATCCAAAGAGTGAAAGAGTTCAAGTCTAAAGATCCAACCCAATAGCAGTAGAGTTTCGTGGAGGTTAGCACCTGAGGGAGGGTACTAACAAATGCTGCGTCAATTTACGCAACCTCATCGTGTCTCACGGTTCTCATGGCGCCGGGAGGGTTTCGCCTTCCTCCCACCTTGCCATGCCACCTCTGAATTGGAAGAGAAGCTTTTTGGGCCCAGGTGTGGGAACCCGCGGAGAGAGGGTAATGGAAAACAATCGACCCAAAACCTGAAAACACCCAGGAACCGAATGGCTCTATGGGCTCTCTGCCCGCTCCGAACCAAGTGATTCGCTCTGAGCGGCTCCCGGCCCCGGCGTTTCGCGTTCTGGTTGGGGCTGGGGATACTTTATGGGCTTGCAACAAGTTCTGTTTTTTGCTGCCACCCCACTAAAAAGGAACAGAATCAAAAAACAACTCTTAAAAATGCAAACAACAGTGAAGGAACATGGAGACTCTGACTCGTAGCATCTGCCATTGGGAGAGGGAGAAACCACGAGAAGGAGAGGGGGCTGTTTTCGGCTCTCGTTTGGGAAGAAAGCTCTGCGTGTAGGGCAAGACCAAGATTGGGACATGGACTTTCACCCGCTCTACTATACATCGGTATGGCAGCAAACAACTTGGTCTTGCAGCCCCCATATTCACCTTTCCAACCCTTGGTATGGGCTTGCAAGAAACGTCGTTTTTAGCAGAACCAAAACAGAACCAAAACAGTTAACTAAAAACCGCTGAAGACATGACGAACAAGTACATACCACCCATATCCAGGTTCCATGTCCTCCAGTAGAGAGGTTAGAATACGGGTACCCTTTTTTTCGGTAGTCTATTTTAGGGGAACCCTCCCCAAAACAGTTGGTAAAAGGGCACGATCCTGCGGGACCTAGGTGAAGTACATCCTCGCCCAAACTCCGGAGACGCCCAGCTCAAACTGGGGCGATACAGGGATCGGTCTTTGGTTGAGGGAACCCCTTGTTTGGTGCCTTTAGATGGAAACCAAAAGAGAAACCGAAGCCTTTTCTTGTTGGGGGGGGTGCCAAAAAAAAAAGGCACACCCTCCTGTTTGGTGCAGTTTGGTGAAAATAGATGGCATGACTCCCCACGTTGGTGTCATCCTCCGTTTACGCACCGCGAAAAAAGCCAAGGTGTGTTTCCTCATGAGATCTCGCCCACGGAACACTGCTGGACAAGGATGCTGTTCAAACAATAATCAACATGCGTCCTCCTCCACTCATGATTTGGGTGTGTCTCAAAATAGGGGCCCCCGGAGCCCTTTTTTGCTCTTCTCCGCCCCGTCGAGGAAAGAGTCGTGAAAAAGCACTGGGGGTTTGGGAACCGCACGGAGAGACTGTACACTCCTCTGCAAAGCCTCAAATGAAGCATTCTGAGGCTTGGGGGCTTCATACAGCCTGTCCCAACAAGCATGTTCAGCAGCCACCCTCAGAAAAGACAGCGGAAACAGCTCGGTTGATTCGGCCCAGGCAACATGGGTAGACAATAATTCAATACTTGCAAAGTCAGTAAGATCCGCGCGTTGGAACTTGCTTGCTATGGGGATGTCTTCAAAACAACAACGCCCCCCCCCCCGCCCCCCCTCCTCTTTGGGCTGCGTTCGTGCGAGTGAAAGCCATGTCACGCCTTCTATCGGTCCTGCCATGTCAAGCCGCCTCTGTGAAACCCGTATCTAGCGAGCTCGCGATTCCGTTCAGAATCATTGTTTCAGCGGCTTCATGTCTGGAAAAGCCGGAGAACCATAGGTGTCCTTTTGGTAAAACAGATGGGTTCCCCTGGTACATGGAATAAACCAAGTCTAAACCAGCTACCATCTATTTCTAACCAACCTAGAAAGGACACCTACAGAGCCCCTACCCGCCAGCTCTAGTAGAACTCCAGGGTCCGAACGCAGTACTCTCCAGGCAGAGCCTTTCGTGTTGCCAGCAGGTCGTCAAGACAGGGATGCTCGCCTGTGATGTGCCACCATCCTGTGCTCCCGGACTCTTCGTTACCCTGGGGAAGTAAGCAGGTGTCGATGACCTCGTGGATCGCGTGCGAGGCGGCCTCGAGCTGATGCCCGAAAAAGCGGAAAGCGGGATTCCCGAGGCAGGTTTATGGGGCAAATGCCGGCTGGGGTTTGATTCCCTGTTGCGAGTGGGGGGAAAAAGCGGGACACCCCGCAAAAAAAAGCCAGCTTTGATGTTCCTGGGCTGTCCTCAGATCCCCTAAAAGTCTAACTCTTGGCGGGCTATATCAATTAAAAAAAAAAAACAAAAAAACGACGAAACCCCAAAACGGAAAAGCCGAAGCGAATGGCTGGGAACCACCGAGGCCAGGATGTTGGTTCGCTTCCAGTACTTGGGGCCATTCACCATACCGATGTTCGAGTCGATTTACTTGCAACACGTCAGGCATTCGTGTAGGGATGGGCTGTTGAAACAAGCTGCTTGTGTTTCCCTTTGCTGTATAAGGGGCCAAGGTCTGGCGAATAAGACTGATTAAGCATCGCAAACAACCTATTGACTGTTGGTTCTGCCAACATGGCAAGGCATTTGTGGGCCGCAAGTGCTGTGGACCCCATGCTGCCAGGAAGAACCGCCTACAATGGCCAATAGGAATCGGTTTTTTGGGTTGGCGCTGCATTGTGCATAGCCAGCCCTGGCAATACTTCAGGAATCTGGCAAGAAAATCCCCGGCACTGCTCAAAATCGCTTTGCCAATCTGTATATATGTATGTATATATATCTATATATATATATATATTGTTGGCTGCCCTTAGATCCCCCGCTAAAAGTTTCACTTTTAGCGGGTTAAATGGACCCCTCCCCCGCTAACCCCTCAAAAACCTGAAAAAAACCAAGGGACAGGATGATTGGGAACCAGGTATAGTCCATGGTCCCTTTGAGAAACTGCAAGCTCGGTTCATTTTAATAAGACATCCTCAAATTTGGCTTAAAGGGAAACCACGCCCAAAGACTTTTTTTTGCAGAGCCCCTCAACATGTTAACTTTACAGAAGCGAGACATGTTAGGGGGCCGACTCCAACAACGTGACCCAAGTTAATTGCTTCGAGTGGGCCTTTGAACAGCTTTAGCTTTTGTCCAGTCTTAGCCAATGCAGCCTTTTAATGACGACTGCAAGTGACCAATGGGGCCATAACCTCAACCTCCATGGCTCCTCTTGCTGTGGCTTAGACTTTGGCTGCTTCGCGCCAAGCCACCAAATCATAGCCACCCCCAGCGGCCCACTTTGAAGTCACGTAGAAGGTGACGCTGGCATCGCCCAAGCGCAGCGCACACTTGGGCACGAAGGCCGGCCCAGATGTATTGGACCCCACAGTCCAGGCCACAGTGACGTGTGGCACCTGACAAATGTTGCCCCATGGGTGGGATTGGTGGATTGAACCGAGGCAATGTCCCATTTCAAAGCCAAGGGCTCAAATCCACAAAAAAACAATGCACCAACTAAACTCAGGGCTGCCTGAGATCTGACCCTTGCCAAATAAAACTGAGAACACACTGGGCTGGTGCAACGCGAACATGAAGGAGAGCCAAAAGGGCAACAACTTGAAAATGCTTCCAATTTCTGGCAATGACACGGTGCGGTCGCTTCTGAAATGCCACAGTTGCCATCCGAGTGCAACTGTTCGCAGGCTCGGTCGTACGATCTCCTCATCCAAGCGCTTGAGAGTGCGCAAGCCATGAAGTCTGGCCCCGAAAAAGATCGCAGGCGCCACGACTGTTTCACCCTCCTGGCGCCCAATGTAGTCTTTCCCTGATAGCCACTGCACGTGCACCAAGCGGCCTCGCGTGAAGCACAGAATGCATCCCCAGTCCCGCAGCAGCACCATGCCGGCACTCAAACCTGAGTGGTTCGTTGATGCCTTACCAAGAGTTAGGTTTTTAGTGGGATACCACACAAATCCCTTCTAAACGTCTCAAAAAAAGTCGGGAACTGCCCAGAAACCATTCCCATCGGTGTAGCACCAGCGGTCGGTGCCTTTTCCCAGGTGCTGCCCATAACTCCCGTAGATTGCGCCAGTTGCCAGCAGCGCGACTTTCTGCACGCCAAACTCACGCCAGTTGGTCGAGTTCAGGGTGCAGTGGACCTCCGCCGTATACCTGGGGCTGTTTCTTTTTGAGCCTCGGACTCGGTAGCCCTTTTTGTGTGGTTTTAAGGAGAAAACAAAAGGCAAACCACCTTTTGCCGCTGCCAAAAGGACCCAGAAATAGAGAAGGTTAACCTTTTGGAACCTTGACAAAAACAAACGGGCCAACAAGGGGAAACGAGCAGTTGTCAAAAGGTCGATTCGCTTTGGGCGACTGAGATGCGTCTCACTCGCTCCGCATGGCATGGAGTGGTTTTCTGCTGAATCCGTAATGAAGAATGAATGAAACAAGCCGGGTGGATCTGATTCCCCAGACAAGACAATGGCTGGGCAGTAGGCGGACGCTGATGCCTGCTCACTCAAGCCTGACATCTGCATATCCTCCCCGACGACGCAAACAGGCTCACGCACTTCCACAAAAGGACCTGCAGCTGTCAGTCCGAAGAACTGAAAGCTGGATGACATGTGCTCAGTCACCGCAGTTCATGGGCTGCACGACGCAGCCTCATCACGCTTTGGACAGAAAGCCTTCGCGGTAAAATCACAGCTTGCTATGATCACGCTTTGGACAGCACCTTTGCGGAAAAAAAAAAAGCAGCTTGGACACGCTGCTTCAGGCGGATTCCGACAAAAGCCATGCAGCTCTTGGGCCAGGTCAGTAAACAGCAAGGCCGTGACATCAGATCGCACATGAGAAGCTTCTGAGACGGTCTAGTTTTCTTTGGGTGCACCCTTTTGGGTGTGCTGAGGGAAACCAACCAACGGGAAACCACACAACAAGTCGGGTTCCATATCCTGTCCTGACACCTGTTTGGTGTCAGCATGTGGACCTTGGGTGTTTCTTGCTTTAATGGGACCCTAACCAGCCTTTAGCTTCCCCCCGAATCGGTGGGTTGGAGCTGGGGTTTGGTTTAAATCCAAATTCGATCCCATCCAAGCCTTTGTACTTGAAACCTGAAAAGGGTAGGAGGGAAATACAAACCCACAGCATGATGCAGCAGCGATAACACAAGGGTTAACTCAGTACACCCGTGATTCTACTTTGATCATGCCCTAATTTGGTTTTGAGATACCGGTTTGGTGTATAGATCTTTTGGTAGAAGGTGGATGACCGCTAGTCATTGGGGGGCCTAAACTTGCTCTGTGACAAATAGAGCGTCGGCCAATCACCCCGAATCAAACGTATTTCTATTCTTGGGGTTTCCCACGTCTGTGGTACACAGAAAACCATATTTTCGGAGTCTGCTTTGTATTTCGTCTATCATAACACATAAAATTGTTTTGCAGGAGAGCATTAAGAAAATCACTGCAAAGGCAACCCGTTTCGTAACCCAAGGATGAAGGATTTGAGAAGCAGGGACCTCAAAGAAGCATGCTCAAAATACTAGGCGTGCAAAATACTAGGTGAGTCTAATATCTAGGGACCTCAAAGAACTCCAAAATAACCCAAGTGGTTTCTGGAGAAGCAACCCAAGCCGAAGCGCCGCTCCTGAGGCTGGAACGCGCTCAGTTCAACACAGCCCAAGCCCTGCATTTGGCAGGGCTCGTGGTTTTACTTAACCGGCCAGACCCAAAAATAAAATGCCACCTAAGTTTAACATAGTATTCAGCTTCCCTCGAATTGGTGGTTGGGATTGGTGGTTTGATGGTTGAGCAGGGGTGTCCCATGAACCCTCTACAAACGCCAGGGCTTCAAATAAATTTCCAAATCCAAACCACCAATCCCAACCACCAACTATGGGGTAACCCGAAGTATGGTCAAATTATATTTTCTGTTTGGTCCACCTAAACATACAAGACCTCCATTTGCAGCTTCGCGCTCTGGAACAAATAATCATATTTCTAGTAATTAGTGAAATCAATTCCCCTTATAAAGCCAAAAGGGGAAAATGGAAGAAGATACTTCTTTTGAAAACCGTTCCCACCCACTTGCCTCCATGGCATCTCCGAAACGCGGCGCACCCATCAACCGAAAGGAGACTGGCTTAACAGATCCCAACGGCCTGTAACAGATCCCAACGGCCTGTCGCACCCTCGGCCGTGGAAGTGTGCCCAAATCAATGCCGGGTGAAGAAAAGTGACCTCACTCATGCAACAAACAACGGAGATGTGTTCGTTGCCCCTTCTTTTCCTGCTGGATTGAGCCATGCCGAAATTTGGCGTGGCTTGACTTGCTGCCAAGCCAAGCATGGAACCTGACCGTTCGGGGTCCCTAAAAAAAAACTAATTCTATGTTCCTTTTTATCGGGGCCCATTTCTCTGGCGGATTCCATGTGGTACAGGAGGGCAAATCTTCACCCTGCAAGTTCAAAAGTCTGCAAGATATGCGCAAAAGCCTTTTGGCCGCTGGCCCCAGCCGCTTGAGCCAAGAGTCATGAACGAGCGGGTTACGACCTAAGACACTCGGTTGCTTTCTGCTCCCCTGCTAAAAGTTGAACTTTTGGTGGTTTAATACGGAAAGCCCATTCGTTGGCAAACAAATACTCAGTCCTTAACATGTCTGAAGGTGTCCGAGGCTCGTCTTGTTCGGGGGTTTCACGAGAAAAGTCTCACCCAAAACATATATCTCTGCGCCAGAGAGTTTAGCCCCTCTCTGCCTGATGCAACACCAAAAAAACAGAATGGGGTTCGAGATCTTCTGAGAGACATCCACATAGGTGTTTTTCTTGGGGAAAAAATATGGGTTTCCCTGGTAGTTGATTGAACCCAAATAAACCAGGGCCCTGTATTTTTTCAAGCAAATCAACCAAAAAGGACACCTATGGACACCCATTGACCCTGCGTTCTACCCACATGCGTGTAAAGGCTCATATAGGCCTTATTATAACCCGTGTTAAACCAAGTAGTAGAACCACCTACATTTAACGGCAAATTTCAATTGGTATCTAAGGCCCCAAAGATAAGCAGATGTCCTTTTGGTTTCCTTTTAAAATCGCAAAGAAAGGGGTACCCACAAAAAAGACATATTTTGAGGGTACCCTTTTCTTTGCGATTTTAAAAAGGAAACCAAAAGGACATCTGCCCACCTTTGGGGGGTTAGATACCGATTCCCATTTGCCATTAAAGGTGGGTCATAGCCATATCGTCATCCTGATAAGCCAAGGAAGGCCTACTGCACAACTTGTGTGGAGCTAGAAAAGCTGCTGGCGCAGCCGTTGCTTCGGTTGCATGGAAAGCACGAGGAAACCAACGACGTGATTGCCCGGTCGCCCAAATGTTGTGCGACCGCATGTGGATCATGGTACATGAAAGTGCTCAAGACAAAAGACTCTCCAGTCAGATTGTGTAACTTTACAAAACAAACTAAGTAATTATTGGAGATGCACATGCAAACAATGTAGCTAAAGTTGTTAGAGGCCTCTTGTCACTATCTTCAAGGAAACCAATAAGGAAACAAACCATTCTCAAGAGGTCCCCCATATTGAGAAACACCCATCACATTCTTCAAGAGATGCGGCATGCGCGCCTTTCTTCCGCGTGTGAAACCGCCTTCCTGGGCGCATCTTTCCGCCCTGAACTCCGAAACTCTTCAACTAGTGATGCTAGCAACCTGAAAACTCGCCATGTGACGGCCTTAGCTGCTGCCCCTTTTATGGCGTCGCCTAAGTTGACAAGATGGGGCCGCTCTTGACTTCTGGAACTGGCATGTGTGAAGGACATAACATGATCCAATTCCCCCAACTCACATTCGTGCTGGGAGATTGAGACCTCGGCCGGTCCAAAGTCTCAAGCAGCGCCAGTCTGGTTCGGGGCTTCTGACATTTCTGGATGGAAATCTCCGAGAAAAGCTGCAGCCAAACATCTTTGGGTCTAGCAGTTCGTAACACTTCACAAGCTACTTACCCAAACATGCCGGAAGTGCGTGGATATCTCCATGTCTCCGCTATGCATCGTCCCGAAAACTCGAGAAAAAATAAAAGAAAAGAACATGCTCGCAGGTTTTCAGAAGGGGTTGAATTTCCGGGTTTTGGGAAGCAACCGGCTTTGGGGATTCCCTTAAAATTAGTTCGTAGGGGATGTTTTGCTTGGGGAATGATTCCATTCTTCATCCCCCGCTGAGAGCCGTCAACTTGAGCCAAGAGGACGTTCACTTGCTTCCGGATCCACTGCAATGGCCCTTTTCCCGAAAACTCACAAGCTCGAGCAGCAAATCGTTGACAGGGCAAGCCCTCAGTTTTTGTGTTTGCAAGGCCAAACCTCACCCAACTATGTGCATGTGGCTCAAAACTAAAAAACTGGGGTTGCGCAGGGTTTGGGCTTTGTTTCCAGATGCCATTTGCAATTTTGGGTACATGTGTTTTGAGAAGCGACGGTGTTTAACAACCACTTTGCAAGGGCCAAGAAGGTGGTGGTGTAAATCCAATCTCGTTCCGGGCGTTTCTCCATTCTTGCCTCAGCAACTGGAACAGGCTTCCCCAGGTTTGATCTTTGACGACCAGAAAGGAAACATGGTTTCTCGCACAATGAGGACACCACCAGTTGGATGGTTTATAAGGGTCATTCCATTTATCATTCCCTGCCTATCGCACCAGAAGGGACATTGCGCCATCTGCCTCGCCCAGCTTCCTCTCCCGCCCTCATGGTGCCGGACGACTCGCGGAGTGAAACGCCTCGAGATCCGCTCGGCGTTTTCTCCAAAATCGCTGTGGGCGGGTGGAAAGGGACACTGGTGACATCCGCAGGGGTCTTGGTTGACGTTGGAAGGGGAGCAGTTCACTTTGAGCAATTAAGTGGGAATTTCAACCACTAAACCACAATAAGCAAAAATGGAGATTTCTTTCTCAACAACAGCCATGGGGTCGCCCTATTTGGAGTTTCGTTTCTGGGGCATGTTGGGACCTGAGTAGTGATTCCCCATAAAAGTGCTAACCTGCTACCCTCTTAATCCCCTCAGCAAGACGATCTTCTATTCCAGAGGTTTGCAAATTGAGTCCCCCCTTGTTTATGTTGTTTGACCCCTAAAAAACACACACACTTTGATTAGTGCTACTGTTCTCTGCCCCTAGGTTATGTCGGCTTAAAAATCAGAAAACACAATATACAATTCTAAATGACCAAATAAACTACGAACCCTTTATTGCGATACTAGTTGTTTCCTTCAGAGTTCCACAGATTGCTATCACAAATCTCTAAAGAATCAGCTATCCAGAAAGAGCGATTCTATTCCTATACAGTTTGCGTAAAAAAGACAAGGTTTCACAAACTCACAAGAGTCATACTCACGCAAAGAATTAAGAAGGCAACCGCAGCTATTTATGGTTGGGATTGTCACTTACTTAACCTTCATCTACCCGGGTTTTGATGGTGGCTCGCAAATGGTATATGAATACAGCATATTTCTAGAATTGGCTTGCCACATCTATCTCTTGTCAAATTGGTGTCTTCACTGGGATTTGCCATGTGTAGCAAGTAACCAGACAAGAGGGGATTCCAAGGCTGCTGAACAACCGGAGCTTAAAGGCGCT